TATATATATATATATAATATCAATTAAATATCCCTTTCTTGTTGCATATTTCAAAATACTATACATTTGGAAATAGCCATTATTTTGTCCATGTTTATATACAAAATTATGTAATGTAAATTGTTCTGTAATCTATAACTCTTACATACAGTAATATTGTTGTGAGATATGAGAACCTCTGTCGGGTTTGAATCATGTATTTTTAGTGTCATTTTGAGAACTCCCAATGTACCTGCACACATCCTAATGTGCATAATGTGCTCGTGTAAGAAAATTGGCCTAAAACAGAAAACAAAACAAAAGAGACTGGACAAAGTAAGTAGTAGTGTATCAAGCTGCCTTGAAAAACAATTCTCTTTTCAGTAGCTGAGAGTTCCCTCCAGCTGTAGCGTTATTTGAGAAGTGAGTGTATTGATGGCTTGGACAGGCACACAAAAGCCATGTTTTTCCTTCATAATGGTTCTGTACTGCAGCATATTCTGTTTCAAGCAAGAGGAGGAAGTGAGTTTTGTTTAAATGCTCTTATGTATTAGGCAAAATTACGTCTACACATTCCATAAAGTACATAAAACTGATTTTACAGCTGTACATTACAGGGTGATTAGTATTTTACTTTGAAACATGTCCACACAAAGCAAACATTGTGGATAACACAAAACACCAGCTTATCTTCTACAAGAGACATAACTTTACTGACCTTCCAAAATGTTCACATTTAGATATTAAAAGACTGGAGTGATTATAAAGGTTGGTGTGACCAAGATAAATGAATTGTTGAAGGTCGTAGTACAGAACAAACGTGCATACTTTGTAGATAACTGTTGTATAATTCACTGTTTGACTTCAGGAATCAAGGACAAACTGAGTCATTTTGAGTTCCTGAACGTTAAAGCAATCTGGATCAGCCCTTTCTACAAGTCTCCTATGAGAGACTTTGGATATGATGTGGAGGACTTCAGGGAGATTGATCCCATCTTCGGAACCATGGAAGACTTTGACGACCTCCTGGCAAGCATGCATGACAAAGGTGGACATGCTTTCTAATAAATGATCGGTGATGTTTCATTCAAATTAGTCATCAACCAGCAGCATGTAACACATTCACAAATTTGTACTGTCATCATTTTTTACTGTGTTTATGACTATAATTTGAATTTTAGCATATTGCAGCTTCATGAATAACATGAGGGTTAATAATTAAGTTACAAACTTAGTGTTATAACACTATTATTACATTGTCATATCACTATAAAATGTTGTCAGCATTAATGTTAGGCTTTGTTTTTTGGCCCAGGTCTAAAGCTAATCATGGACTACATCCCGAACCACACCAGCGACAAACACATCTGGTTCCAACTTAGCCGTAAAGGCACAGAGCCCTATAAAGACTACTATATCTGGGTTAACTGCACACCAGACAAACCTCCTAACAACTGGGTATGATTGTCCATCCTCACACTGCAAACAAATCAGGGAATAGTGACAGCTGCTGTATTTGGATCTTGAATTTTATGGCTTGACATAAAGAATCAGTGCTATTCAGAATGCTC